ATCATCATCATCATCATCATCATCATCATCATCATCATCATCATCAATTTATTGGCTACCCAACTCCAGTTTATCAGAAGGGAGATTAGTGTGACATTTATCTAGCTCAGAAACACTCTTTGAACTCTCCCTGGTTTATCTTTTTGAGTCAGGGATGGGTGGGAAGGACAGGTAACACATTTCCAAACAAGGCACTCCTTTTTTGTTGACTTAAGAATCTTACAGAATGCAGGAGGGGCTCAGAAGTATTCTTGTAAGCAGAGAGGATGCTAGAGGCTGGTGCTGTGCTTGGCAGCAGGCCAGTTTCTTTCTTATTCATTAATTCATGATTTTCAAAGTTAAATCTTTTTTAAAAGACTCAGTTGGGTGAGGCATCGTGACAAAGGCATGCATGGATATATTAATGCCCATGGATGCCAGGTATCTTACCATATATGACTACTGGACATTATTTTCTTGCATTTGTATTCTGCCTTTATTCCATCAAACTGAAAGAAGCATATATAGGATGCTAGCTGATCTTCCATTCAGGCATTTACCAGACCCAAATGTAAAGTATGCCCCAAATCACATAATCTGGGGAATCGTGATGCATCACAATTCTCCAGATTATGTGATTTGGGGCATACTTTTTTCTGCTTGTATTCCTATTTTGAACATAATATATTGAATCAAATTAAAAGGAAGCTCAGGTAGCTGTTAGATTATTGTAATATAATCATTTTTATATTGATCTATCTGTTTATAGTCCTGAGGTCTTGGAGCTAGTATGCTTGGATCTTTTTTATTGACAAATGAATTATAAATATAATACAAATGGATTGATATAAATTCCCATTAAAACACACTAATTTAAGATGTTGACAGTACAATCCCACTAATAGTTGGAGAGTTCTGACATTTTCTGAACTCTGCCAGCAACAGACAGAGAAAATGAAAGTGAAATGGAAGTAAAATGGAATCATTTTATATAGGATTTTCCCTTTTCATCATAAGCAATAGAAGAGAATTTAAGATTACTGAGGATCATAGACTGCTTAATGATTTGGGGCTGCCTTGGGGAATCAGAGAGACTAGTGGTTTTCCAGATCCTCACACAGTATGCCTCCATTTCAATGTCATGATTTTCCCAGATGAGAAGAAAATGAGTCTCCTGCCACATTAGAAATGCCTTTGAATACCCCATTTCTTGCATAATCAGTTTGCAGCCACCTCAAAGAAGGCTTGTGGCAGTGGGAAGAGAGATTCCCATCATTCTGATTCCCTGAGTGCTCTTCTGGAAAGCAGAGGACCATTCTCATTCTTTTCCAAAAATAAGATATTTATAAATAATATGAGCAGTAATTAGCATAAAAGAAAAATACATTTAAAAATTGGGATAATAAATGGGTCTCTTCTAGCACTAGAAGGACAACATTGTAGTACCACAGAGGGTCTTACAAGACGGAAATGTTTTATTTATTTATAAGATTTATAAGGCTGCCAAACTCAACCAGTGTGACTCTCGGTAGTATACAGCATAAAAACAAGAAATCAAAGAAGGAAAAAAAACCCCTTTACAATAAACAATACAGTATATAAATACCAAATACAAAATGGCAACCAAGCACATAGCAATATAATCAAGCAAGGGAAATAAAGGGAACTATATCCAGAACTCTTTTGAGAGGAGACAAACTGTTCTACCATTTTCATGTTTTGTGCTGTTTATATTTTGATTATTGTCTTGCAATTTTATTCATTTTTTACACTTACAGAAGTACTTTTTAAATACTGGTGTTCAGGAGATCTCTAAAAACATCCCAGAAAAGAAAAAAGAAAAACTTGACAAAAGGAGAGAAAACCAAAACCTAAAAAAGATAAAGGTGAAGATCAACCCAAAACGGTAAGAAATTTGGGGTCTAGCCTTAATCTTAGAAGAACAACTTTTCTTTGACTATGTGTGGCATGCAAAAACTTTGTGCTGAGAATTTCTCAAAATTTTATTTCAGAAAGAAGTGGCATACTTACATGGCTTGTGCTGTAGTAATACTAGCAGTAACAAAAGTAATCTTTACTAACATTTAAAAGTCTTAAATTAGTTCCTGGATTAACTATTATGTTGCGACTTCAGATGTCATGTCTCTCAGCCTTCATAACCTATTGATGTCAAGGCGCAGTGGGACGTAGATACCCACACAGATATCTGCAGTAAAATAACCTGCACACAGTGACATCATGACACAAATCCTATCCTGCCTGCATCACAAGTATTTAAGTTGCAGCTTTCACATACATTTTATCCTTCCCCAACCCATGTCTAGAGAATTAGGAATTTCCTCTGCCTTTCCTTCACATTTCTTGATCTGCCAGCTTTTTGTTTATGAGATAGCTAATTTCAGCTTCCTTCCTGCATTTGTTCCCTAAACACTCTTTTCTCAAATCTTCTTTTGGTAGACTATAG